GGTGTAAAAAGTTGCATATTTGTTTTCCTTTCCTTACTGCTTTTAGCTTTATTTTGTATCTGACCTTTACACTAGCATTCAGTGTTGTTACTATTACAAAAACATTCTTTCCTTTGCAGGTTACTTCTGCAGACTCCAGTTAATATTTTCCATGAAAGAAAGTGGTTTGATTGCTTAGAGTTCATTTTTCAAAGTACAGGTGGGGTGACAGATGATGGTGTCAAAGCGAAATTTAACAATGTCTCCTGCTCAGTGTGCTGGGTATAGACTTTAGGTAATTCAGAACACAAGCTTGAAAGCAAAATATTTCATACTTTCATGTGCCCTGTGACAAAAGCAAAACATACATACACAATAAATTATTGCCATGCTCTGCGGTTCCTATCATATTTTATTTTAATGAACACATTCTTAAAATGTAGTTAACAGGTTTTTTCCATTTCTTAAGCAGCCATCAGCAACTCTTGTTCTTTCTCAAAAAAGAATTGTTTCAGTATACTTTATGCATTTGTTTGGACAATTTGTTTTGCTAAAACATACTTCAAAGCTAGAGTAACTTTTTGTTGTTGTTGATTAAATCTTTAATCATCTGTGTGTGTCTGCTGTAAAATGTTTTGTTATGCCATTTCATTGTATTGGCTCCTTTCATCATGTTGAGACAGTATTAACTCAACAACAGAAATTCAGTGACAAAGAGGCATGTTCAGAAGACTGCAGGCAAGATTGGTGCATATTGGAGAAAAATGGCTCAAGATAGGGATTTTTTGTTGTTTTTTATTTTGTCTCTTTAGTTTTATTTATTTATTAGTTTTTCATCTCCTAAATACATTTGAAGCAAGTCTTAGAGACTTATGTACTAGACTCAGCATAAATAAATGTGTTTGTGAACAGCATTTCTGTGCAGTTTGGTAGGCATCGGACAGCTATTATTTAGAAATAATGTGAATTGCAGTTCAAAGAACCAGTTCTCCTAGGCACACGATATTTTAAATAACAACAAGTATCCATTACTGCTTAAGGAGACAACCAGATTTTTTGTTTTCCTTTTAGAAAAGGCTTTGAAATGCTTCTGTGATGGCAAAGAAAACAGCCTTCAAATAGTTGTGTTAGCACTCAAATATCAATGTGTGCAGCCACTAGAATATTAGTGGAAAGATTGTCTTCTTGGAGACAAGACAAGAGCAGGTAGAGCGCAGATGTCTTGGAAATCTGGGAGGAGAAGAGAACTACAATTGAAGTGGAAGGACCATGTGGCCCCTAACATACTGGGAGAAAAGTGAAATAATAAGAGTTAAAAATGGCAGTATGAACTGGGAGGATAAAAAGTCTGTACTAGAACTAGAAGCTAGTTTGGATTTGAATTTCAGACTTAGTTGAATGCATTATGTCAAATAAAATGTTCAAATTTTGGATTATGTGGCTGTTATTCTGCTTAGCAGTTCTAGTGTGAAATCACTTGTATGTCCATGGAAATATGAAAGTTAATAGGTAAACATGTAAACTGAGTGAAGTATTTGTAAGAGTGAATGGAAGGAATATCTGAAATTCCATTGACTTAAAAAATATCTACTTTCAAATCATTGTTTGAGGCATAATTTAGATAGCTAATTTGCTCTTACACAGCTTAATCAGTTTTCATGTTTAAGAAAATATATTCTAGCTATTTTAGTAGGGCAAAGTTAGCAAAGCGAGATTATTTATTGTCATTGTCAAAATTTCCTCTCAGAGCCTTAGCCCATATGTTAACTTCAGTTAATTTCCTAATTTAGCTGAATGAAGATTTCAGTTAATTTTGTTGGAAGAAAAAATGGCTCTTCTGAGTAGAGTGAATAGGATTCCAATAGTTTCTGTTCCATGAGGAACAGCTCTGGAATTATGGTGTGCTTGTCTGTGCATCCAGTTTTAAGCTATACTCCTCCTATGGAGGTTTTAGCAAAACCAGTTTGCATTTATGGTTGTTTGTTTTTTGTTGTTTTTTTTTTTTTTTTTAATTAAGTCTTCTCTAGTGTCCTTTATCAGTTATGCCTATCGAATCACAGAAGTGATTCCCACTACTACTAATCCCATGGTATTATTAGGTGCATTAAGAGTTAAGTCTGTAGTTATTAGTTGCATTTTTTAAAAATTGCCTATTTTAATGTCCTGGCAAGAACCCATATTTCAAAAATGTTGCTTTGTAATAGGTGTGTGAATTTATTTTTCCTCATTTTTTTTTCAGAGTTTTTAATGTGTTTTCAAGTAAATACTATCAAGTCCATATATCATTAATGATTTAAATTATGTCTTGTTAGCCATGAATTTGAAATGTTACATTACTGCATCTTGACAGGAGGAAAGGATAAAACAAAAGAAAATAACCTGATCTTGGTTTATATTTTAAATTATATGATGTGCCTGACCAAACTGAAAAGGAATAAACAAACCATCATACCAGGTTAAAAACTTAATTGGTATATCTTTGCCCATATGTAAGAGGCATTATGGTGTGTTAGTGGGCATGGATTGATCGTACCGTGTCCTGGGCGGTTCCAACACCAGTGTAAAAAGAAGAGAAACAAAATATGGGCTCTTGAGTTGAATTGTCAGCTTTGCTTCTGATTTGTCTTGTTTTTAGTTTTAATCAAATGCTTAATGGGAATTATAGAAGTCATTTTTGTAGATGAACATCATATTATTATACAGAGCACTACACAAATTTATTAACTTGGTCCTTTGAAGCAATGGCCAAAAGGTTAGTGAGTGAAGGGAGTTAAAGGAAGCCAATGATACCAATATGTAATTATTTTATATCCCTCAGTTTGATATGGTAACCTTGAGCTTGCATCCTCCCACCAGAATTATTATGTAAGAAGGGGGAAAAAAAAGGGAAAAAAAAAGAGATTACAAAGGAATCAGAGTGAGGCATTAGCACACTGAGTAAAATATATGGCTGCAACGCCTTTCTCCCCCATCTACAATCAATTGGATTCTTTTAGTTTAATATTTACTTGCTAAGATGAGATGCTAGTCTGCATGGTGATAAACAGCCTGCTACTGGCATCTGAAGGTGACCTGTCAGTTCATATGGACAAATCTCCTGCTTACTGAAATGTACAAAATAAATCATTAAAGCAGGCAGGTGCTCATTCCCAGATTTAAATCACCATAGATTTATGATTTGAATTAATGCTTCATTTGGTCATAGAAATAGATGCTGAGACAAATGATATGCAGTGGTTGGAGCTTCCATACTGTAGCCATCCTAATATTGATTACTGAGATGTCTTTGCAATCTCTTGTTTATATCAAGTACTGTCTTGTGACAGTTTGGCTGATATGAGCTACATTGCAGATAAGAAGGAAAAATGTCCTGGGTTCTTTTTAGTGGCAATTCTACATACCACATGCAGGATAGAGACATTTTTGTTGGTTTGTTTGTTTAAAAAATGAATTCTGTATGGCAGCAAACAAAAAAAAAGATTATGCTGTGTGTTGTTCTTTTAAAATCTAATTGCAGAATTAAAAGAAAGTTACAAGGTCAGACTTTATATTTCATCTAAGATGTTCTGCTCTTTGTCATATTAACACTTTAGGATGATATTAGGATCAGTTGTGTATTTACCATCTAATACTCCAAAGTTTTAGTCAGAGTACTTAAATTATTTCCTTGCTGCTGAAGTACTTACTGCCCTGCTATCGTACTTCAGTAACCTGCAGCAGCAAAAGATAGAAGCCTTTGACAATAAAGATGTTTATAGCTATTTCTGTGAGCTAGGCTTTGCTATCTATAACTTGGTAGGAAGTGAAGAACAGTCTCTATACTTTTGCTTCCCAAACGTTTTATATAATGAAAACACTTTAGGGAATACTCAAAGGATTTGTAAAGACCTTTGGCACTTGTTAAATTCTGACTCATAAAACTTGTAAACAACTATCAACAATAGTAAATTACTTGCTTAGTAGGAAATGAGTTCATATCTATTCAAAATGTGATCTCAAAACAGATGTCCCAAGAAAATGTCATTGTTTAAACTACATTCATACAAAAAAAAAAATTGCTATTATTTCTTTAAGGAAGTGAAGCAATCATGAAGACTTTGGTGTTCTCTGTTTCTAAACACAGTTAGGAACACAAGGCAACATTTTACACTTGGCTAGCATGTTAATCCATAAACAACCACAAAATGTGTTGAAAATTAAGAGGTTTTCTTGGCATGTTAGATTTCCTGTTCATCTGCATTACCTTGCAATATTTAAAATTATGAGACATAAACAAGGTTTCCTGTGATCTGTTGTTCAAAAGTAACAGTTGCTTGCATACTATTATTTTTTTTCTGTTTTTTTCTTTTTTTTTTTTTTTTTTTTTTTCATCCAGAATCAGAGATAAAATTATTTAGGTGAAATTATTTTTCTCCAGTGACCTTGCCCAGTAATAGAACAGTACAAAATGCAGTAATTTCCTTTTTCTAAACACACGTGTCTGTTTTGAAGGAAAGAATTACTTTTATGGTTTCAGGAAAAAGTCTTGGAGACCTTGAAAAAGCAAATAAAAGGAAACAGAGAATGCAGGCCACTGAGCACAGCTCTGCAGTTGCACATCTGATTCTCTGCCTTGGCAATGTTAATGAACCTCAAATCCTCCCTATAATTAGATGAGGGAATTGCTTATATTTTCAAACAGATGATGCTGCTATAATGAAACGAATTGACAGGGAACTTAAGACTGTCTACAGTACAGTAGTCATTTGGTTTCCGGGTCTGGGTTTTTTGTTTCTTCTTTTTTTTTTTTTTAATTTTTTTATTTTTTTATGTTAAAGTGTAAAAATATTTTATGTAGATACAGGTCCTGGGAGAGGTAGTAGTTTACACAGAATGCTATGACAGGTGTCTTAGTGTAGCAAAGAAATAAAATGGAAGATAGAGGAATGATGGGCAGGTACAGCTATTTTTGGGAGGGGGTG